CAAAATATCAGATTTTGTTGACGAAGTGAAGTCGCTCGGCGGATTGAGCAAGAGTCGATCGTAATAAAGTTCACTCCCAAAAACATGCCTCACAAATAAAAGATAAAAAAAATGTTGTGGTACAATGAAATACGATTATCGATCTTAGACATTTGTTGTGAACCACGTGATCAATATCAAAAGAAAAATATATATGTCGATTAAGTAACCGCCTCCTTTTCGAAGTCGGTGTTAAAAATACGAATAACTCGAGGCAGAGCGACAAATCTAATTCAACGGCAACTTAACTCGGGAGCCTGGTACTCGGTTCAAATTCGAACCTGCTTGTTTCAGTTCATCGTTAACGACTATCAATGATCTGCATTTATTTCAGCCGGATCGACCTTGATTCAAGTGTTGTCCGAATGGATGTTGCGCGAAAAATCGTTATCCCTGACAAAGAACGCGCTCACCGAGCCAACTTTGTACAGTTTGGACGAGGAAAATAGAAGGAGATTTCCAGCTAGTCCAGCTTATGACGTACTGATCACAATGGTGAATCCTAATCCAGAAAAATTGAAGGTCGTCTGGGATCTACGCACGATGACCGAGGGTGCGTAAAATGTTACCGAGAATTTACCTAATCCTCGTCTCCTTTCGACACTCGCTTTCTAATGAAATGTTACGCAGCGATAGAGCTTACTATACCAAGTCAATGACCACTCCACCAAATTATTCGTGAAACCTCACATTTTATGTACAGTAAACTTTACAAAAATTATACGGATAGACGGATTAGCTATTAAATGATCTGGAACAATATCTCCTAAGAGCATTAAATTACAATGTGAAGCGTTATATGGATAAGCAGGAGACAGACTCTGCTGACATAGAAGGTCGAGAGTTTCGTAATATAAAACTATAATAAACAGATAAAGGTGATGTAAAAAATGTAAAAGATATGAAAAAATAAAAGGTAAGAATAATGGTAAAGAAATTTAACTACAGTCGGCCCTCGAGTTTCGCGCACAATTGGTTCCTGAAAGTGTGTGCGAATGTTGAATGTTTGAAAGTAGAGGGATGTACAAAAATATGCACCAAAACCTGTGTTTTAAAGTATTTCTTTATCAATATGTACACATAATGAAGTTAAAGAAGCGTGTTTAAATGTTTTCGGGTGTTTTCTTTATAAACTTTTCAAGAGTTAGACCACCCTTTTTTTCTTTTCTTTATAAAGATTTCTATAGCATGCTGTATCTTTCTAAATTATCCCTGAGATATACGTTCTTCATTGGGATCAGATTCTTCCATGAACTTCTTTTTTCTCACTTTCATTGTGAATTTTATTGTTACTCGATTAAGTGTTCATTTGACAACAGAGTTGAGTGAGATTCAATCAACTCATTAACATGTTCATTGTTAACGTCCAAGTTTAGTTCATTCGTTAGGCTAGCTATTTCATCTGTGATAGTTTCCGGTGTTTCTTCAAAATTTATAAGATCACTCATCATATGTGGGCATAATTGTTTCCAGGAGCAATTTTTCATTGTTCGGCATTTTCTTTTGGCTTAAAAAGTTGGAGTTATAAAAATGTGCGAAATAGCGTATTGTGCGACAGTAGAATGTGTGAAAGTCGAGGGCCGCCTGTATAAAAAGTAAAACGGAATAAGACGAATGATACAGTGATTTACAATTAAACGTTATCCAGGGCCAGTATAGAGCAGTTACTTATTAGAAAAAAAAGTATTCTCTCAAGCAACTGATGTAATAGTTTTCTAATTTGTATCTTTACATTTCAAGTTCTAATTTAAGTATAATATTGACCTTCAACGGTGACACGCGGTCTAAAATATTATCGAAGTTTAAACAAATTTTCAAAATAAGAACTCTCATCATAGTATTGTTGTAGATTAGTACGGGAGTATTATGATAAACATAATGCGTATGACATGGTGGAATGTTGTTTGTACATACTGTGTTCTTTAAAGGAATGCCGTTAGGCTATATTATAATAACAAATGTATATCAAAATGTCAACAACTAAGGAAGATATGAAAGACTGTTTAACTACATATTTCAGAGCACAGTATTACCGTTCAATGTCCAATTCCATCACTAGAATTAGTACTTGAAATGTAAAAACATAAATTCCTGGGTTATTGCATCTGTCTTTTGAAACAAAATATTTTTGTTTATAACTGCCTTTTAATCATCCTAAGTAACTTCGAACAGTAAGGACACTGTAATTATCTCTGAGCCTCTGTTAGAAAATTAAGAAACTTCTACATCAAATATTCTTTTCTATCCTTAAAAATAAACCAGTTACCCAGGTAACCTGTTTTAAATGCCTACTTCGCTCTGCATAAGAAAATAATTATCCCTACTCGCTTCAAACACGCTCTCAGAGTAACGCTCGCGCGCCTATACTACCCACGCCACACACAACTATTAATTGCTTTTAGGCTTTTACTACTGAAAGTAAGCAATCTCACAAAACTCAATGCTAAATATTTCTATTAAACAATTAACTATTTACTCTCAAAACCGTATATTATTAACTTCGGTATTTTAAGCACTATTACCGTAAATTCTTGTAAAAAGATCTTGTACAGCTAAATATATCTTCAATTTTTAATACTGTATTTAATAATTGCTATATATTATTGAGATTTCAAAGTGAACTTTTCCATATCCTTGTAAGAATGGTTTCGTTCTTTTTTGTCGCTATGCTCTTAACCCTTTGCACTCGAGGCCTTTTTCTCTGGTATCTACCAGCAACTCGAAATGTTTCTGAGCATTCTATTGCCATCAATTCACCTCACCAACAATCATTTTATTGACACTTCGAGCTCCAAAGAAATTAAACTTAAATAAACATTAGGTATTGTAGATTTGCTGCGTAAAACCTAATGGTGACTGAGAGTCACCTCTCGAGTGCAAAGGGTTAATAGTCACCTTCTAGAGGTTATAGATTATAGATCAAGCGATCATATGGGTTCGAAGATTCTTCATAGATCACTTCCTTGCTAACTATCTAAAATCACTTATGGTGTTCCAAATTCATCTTCCAAATTCTTCGATTACAAGAATACTACTAATCCTAATGTAATATTTCCCGTATAGATCCCTAATGAATCTTTTTATTGAAAATTACTAATCGCTTCTCCGTACTACAAGTGTGTCATAGTACCCAAATCGCGAATTTATTGAACTCTTAATTTTTAATGTATGCCTGCGTGTCTACATCTCCTGTTTACCTACTTTTAGAATACGTTGAACCTTTTCTCGACGAGGTTTCTATCTCGAGCAATTTTTCGGTGAAATCGCAGTGGCTGTACTTGCTTCCGTTGGAAGTGAGTCCGAAACGCGTGCCCGATAGTAGTGTGCTAGGTAGGCACTTTGCTCTACCGGAAGACGTATTGCCGCAGCTGATCACACCTTTGGAAAAGAAATTAGGTATGTAGATCGTCGACATTGATCTAGAGTAAGATAGAATAAATGATAACGTCTACGTTTCAGCGTCGCAGGTCAGTCTTCATCCGACTATCAATTTCGTAGTCTATGCTGTTCCATGCGATAATGGTCCTCTGCATATTTACACGCGTTCTGGCCACAGGTCGAAAAGCAACGCCAATGTTGAAGCATTTTTGTCGCCAAGGTAAACATGTGTTTCACGGTTAGCATCATTAAATGTTACGCTTAACATTACGTCTACGTTTTGTTGTTTCAATTCGCTTACAGATGGGGTGGTGTAGTGTTGATCAATCCATCTTTGGAGAGTTGCGCTGCCGCAAAACCCAACGAACCGGTCACCATGATCCCTGAGGAGGCTACCGTCGTTGGCACATTCCTCGCACAACTAAAGCTTCTTCTGGGTATTCCTGAGCCGGTAATCGAACGATTCGCTATACTAGCTATGCAGATAACGCATTCCAAATTGCTAATCGACGACGCCTGTTGGTCCGGATTTATTCGAATATTTTCCTTCAAATATTTGAAGCTTTCACGGTCCTTTATGGTTGATATTAACTGAGGTTTTCAGGTGTAAGCAAAGTCCGTTGCTTACACTCCAATAATTTGCTAGAATTGCAGCTAGCTTCTTCAGGGATTAAATGACACACAATACCAGTGTGAACTAGCTGTAATGCTAATAAAACATCGGAGTATCTTACCCAAAGGACACGGTTTACATTAACAAATGTGTTTTCTTCTTGTAGAAATTTTTACACGGCGTTACCACAGTCCCTTCGGTAGGATTGAAATTGCGTGACTGGGAAGTCGACGCTTTACTACGTGTTCGCACGATCGAGCAGCTAACTTCGGCTAAGTTAACACTACAATCACTCGCTCGACTTCTCAAAGAAATTGGAAACATCGTGATCACAGATGTTGTAGGGGATAGAATAAAAGCTGCCTTACGTTTGGTTGAAGATTCGGCCGAACGACTGGCTGACGGGGATCTCAGGCAAGGCTTCTTGCTGAGCAAGGCAGCATTTGTTGCCGCGGAAGCTGCATTCTCGGATCCGACGCTTTTAGCTTTACTATATTTTCCCGAAGACCAAAAGTGAGTCCTTCGACCTTTATTTATCAAGTATAATTATTGGAGATGACAACAGCCTAATTATTTACACCTATTTGCTTTTCTTTCTCTGACTTTAGGTATGCCGTGTATATACCTCTTTTCCTACCAGCTATGATACCAGTATTACTTTCCTTAAAGAATATATATAAACATTATCGGAAGGCCATCGCGTGAAGACTGTCGATCCAGGACACAACGAACAAGAATAAGAACTACGGTAAATGCCATAACGGCGTGCAACAACGAAATACGAGGTCTGCGTTGTATTACTTCATCCTTTAAATGGAGGAATTCAAGTGAGTGCATTTTGAAGGTCGGGAAGTATTTCTCGAAATCTGGCACGCTCGTTTCTCTCGTGCTACATATTCGAGTTTTGCGCGTTCCCTTGCACGGTGAGTGACATTGTATATTTAATGAATAGCGAAACAAACGATAGAAATAAAAACAATAATATTTTTTATTGTACAAAGAAAATGGTTGCGAAATTATTAAAAGAAAGAAAGGAAAAATGTATTGAGCCGGTCAGTGTTCCAACGATGAGTGTTGAATGACTTTAAGATGTTACACATAGCTAGACTTCGTTTTTTTTTTTTGTCGCGCATCGAAACGTACATATACGTGTCCAGAATTATAATTTTCTACTTTTCTTGTCCACGGATTACACATTCATCTGTATCACTCGTCATAGCTTACAACACCGTAAGATAACGCTACATAAGATGCCTGTTCGTCGTACAGGTACGCGTCTGTCCTGCCTGTACACATTCATACTCGTAACGTACATTCACACCCACGCACTCACGGATGCACCCACGCGCATTCAATGCGACCAAACGTTCTCCACGTATTCCCATATATTCCTCCTACCAAATTTCAAATTAATTATCATTAGATCGTTAAAAACAACTAATAATCTATATACAGTACACGTGTATCAATCCTCAACCAGTTAAAAGGTTACAAAATTACCAAGTTGAATTGCTATAAAAAAATATGTTCAACTATCACGAGAAATTCCATTAAAATTTGGAAAAATGTCGACAGATCGTGACTCGATAAAAACCAGTGTGAAACCGTTATCGATTATCGTAGGCGTCGCGTCTCGTGCGCAAGAATGACAGTTGCTTTCGCATGTTATTCGTATCACGAATCTCGACTGGTAGTTGAACATTACTAAGAGTAAAAATAAATTAATCGGTGAATCGAAAAGCTTACTCGTATGAAAAAGAAATAGAAAAAGAAGAACGTCAACGAAGACTTTGAACTAGCTGTATCGCGTGTTGCAGAGCATCTGCGATATTCTGAAAAACAGGTACACCTTCGCGCGTCGCGTAGTCCGACAGGTACATTCTTCCCCGGTTGTAGTCTTTTATGGCTTGTTCGGTTAGCTAAATAAAAAAAGAAAAGAAGGCACTTTTTGTATTTGGAGCAGCAAACGTAATAACGAGAGAGATGATTATAAGAATATAGCATACGTACGTACGGCTGCACTAGACAAATCCTTACCTTTTCGCCAGAAACTACGCAATCATCGGGAAGCGTTTGAACGCACAGGACCAGTTTTGCGCGCAATCCAATCAGATGAGCTGCCAGTGCCATTATAGTAATGCCACGAGAGTGCTGTGGCACGATCAGCAATATTAACCGCGAATTTTTCATTCTCTGCAGTTCTTGTGGCAATACCTTTACATTGTACTCGTTCAGGCTTGGTCGGTATAGGGATAAACCGATGGATCTACAAAGAAAAACAACTTACACGTAGACTCAACGACACTGTTGAGATAACGAGAAACGAAAGAACGTTACATCTCGGATGCTCACTCGATGGAGGATGCTGCGGTTGTTTCTAACCAAAATTGATCTTTCCCGATTACTCCAACGTACAAGTCTCTCTTCTCGGTTTCAGGCACGAAGGAATTGGTCCAATCTAAAAAGTTGAATGGTCGCACGAATCGTACATGACTGTTCTCGGGAACGCTTTCACAAACTGATCGAGCCGCGAGCGTCTTGCGATGACCTGTTCGCTTTCATACACGTTAACGATACACGCTATGGATCATGGGAAATTGTTTAGAATAGAAAATACCTAGGAAACGGCTAAAAGGTTGTACAATAGCTCGGCGAAGAAATTTCGAAGCCTTCCTATATAATATACTCCAAACTGAAGGTATCTCACTTTCACAAGAAATGCCGTTGGTCTTCGTCCTCCAAGCTGATTCGGTAGCTAGGGCGCAGAACTGTTCAAAATTTATCCGCAAATCCATCGGATCTCTCTTGGCTGGAAATCCGTCGTCAATCAACGGCCTATACGTTTCTAAAAGAACACGCGAATATGAAGGACAGCAAACTTCCTCCGCCGCCTCGACTACGTGGTATAATTTGTTCTATTCTTTAAACAAATGTAAAAGTTTATTACCCGATTTATTTACGACATTCAGAAGATCCGAAACCGACAAGTTGCATTTGACATTCGATTGTAACGCTATCCAAGCCTACGAAACGAAGAAAGCGACACAAAGGTAGGTAATATGTCATATCGATTTAGTCATAGCCAATGTACTTCTTTTTGACAGAAAAATACTGAGATTAAATAAACTCACTTCTCTTAAATTAATGGTTCCGCTGTCATTAATATCCATGGACTTGAAAACCTCCCTTAGCGTACTACAAAAGAGTAATTTAGAATCGGACATTGAGTACGACGCGACTCTCGCATAAGCGTGTATACACGGATATCGAAAAAGTCTTACACCGCGTCCATTCCATTTTGACTGTGTGAAATTTTAATCGGTCTAATGCCATCTTCGGAATGCAGATCTTGCACATTAACCTCTTCGCGCAGAACCTACGACGAAACCATATTTGAATCAGCGTTGAAATCTGATACGCGGAAAAATAACGGCAATTACTTGCTTTTACTCCTTATCTATCGATTACCTTGGGCGTACAATTAAGAGCAACTGATACACTCTCGAATATCGGTATCCTTTGTCTTTCCATAAGATATTCAAGTACCAACAGTCCATTCATCAAGTCTTGATATTCCCTAAACAAGATATTCACATTTTATTAAGCATATATCGTCGAAAACGAGGCCGTATTAAGTGATAGAAACACGCCTTACTGAGTGGATACAGTCTCGCCGAGTATCGTTTGACCCTGACGATATGGATAAATAACTAGGATTAAAGACTCGCGTCTTGTAGCTGCCAACTGAGCAGCTTCAATGATGCCCGCGCTGTTGCGCGTTTGGTTATCGATCACAAAGAGTAACACTTTCGCCGTCTGTTTCGCTTCATACTCTTGAGCTATCAGTTCTGGTCCCCATTGCGATACTTGCTAAAACGTACAATGTACAATTACACTGACTGTTAATGAATCACATATGACATCAATGAATACTGAGAAACACATACGGGATTGTAATAAGTAATTCCGAGGCTCTGAAGAGTCGGTATCGCTATTTCTGACCTCCACGTGGTTGGATTACAAGATCCACCCAGAAATACCTCATATGCCATTCTCTCTATAAAGCATGCAATTACAAAAAAAAAAATATAATAGTGAATAATATACAAATTAGTATACAATAATAGAGATTTACTTGAACCGCTTTTGCTGTTCGTATCCTTTCCATCACAATGTAACGGACGAGAGGCGCTCATAGAAACGGCTATTCTACAATTAGAAGTATATGTTCAGTGTCGATTAGAAAAATGCTTTTGTGAATTGAAGCAGTATTATCACACTCAAACTATATGAGTCAGTCTTTAACTAGTTTGCAAGAGGATTCGATATACTCGGCTCAATTCTTTGCTATCTTATTGTTTTAAAATTGATAAATTTTCATTGTTGATAAATTGTCTGTTCCGTTTGAGTGTGGTAATAAAATCATTGTATCTGTTGTTAATATAAAACATGTAATACTGTGTTATTAGACATACTTCCAAATATCAAATCCTTTTGCAACAAGGAAAAGCACGCTACGCTGCATCGTCGATAAAATGTTTCTACTACAACTAATTGTAACCAGACATTTGTTGGTTTGTTCCTAGAACACATGCATTTACTATTGTCGTCCGATTCGATCACACAGCAAAATTGATGTTTACAACAAAGGTGTAGGTAACAACCATCGACTGATCCATTCTCAAACTAATACTTATCGATTTAGATAAGTACTTAAATTACCCTATCTTGCACAAATGTGCCAATTCAACGACGAACATATAAAATTCTTGGAGCATTATATAGGTATCTAAACAGATGATCGAGCAATCTTCAGTAAGTCGCTGCTCTTTGCACATTTGCAACCAGTTTGCAAGTAACAGCATTACGTACTATGTGTCTTTCACCTGTAACAACAATATATGTACATATATATTTGTTATAAAAGATTGTCTATATACCTACAATATAACTATACTTACATAGATTTGGTCGATACTTCTCAACATATGCCTTTATAGATATGTGGTAAGACCTCATTGTTTAAATGGTTACACGCAATGGAAGAGGCTTATGTCCATCCAATATATTTACCCTTTAATCGTCCAACTGAGGAGAATTTCAGATTTTCCTGTTTAAGAAAAAATCATATTATAAGTAGAGTATGAAGGATACCAATTGGATTCTATTAGGCTGACCAATAGCTTTTTCTAATTTTTCATCTTTTTTTCTACATTCTTTTTCATTGAATGTTTAAACTAAATAAATCTATTTAAGTTATATGTTGTATATTTAATTTCCCAGCTCTTGAACTGTTCTTTCGTATCACTTATTAAGTATTGTACAATTGTGTGCTCCTGATTTTATTAATGTAGGAAAATCATGAAAAACATGATAGTCGGATGGCACAAAATCCAGGCCATAGACCAAATGTGGCTAATAGTCAATTATATTAAGTTGAGACTAATGCTTTTGATTTTGTTTATCTGAATTGTTGAAAAAAATCCAATTTCCATCACAAGTTACAACTCAGTAAATAAAACAATTAGAAAAGATACAAATTTCAAATTTTTCCATAATTTTCTTCATTGATAAAATCAGAGATACACAATTGTTCCAGTGTGCTTAATACATAATATGAAAGAGCAATTCAAGAGCTACTAAATAGTATACACAACATAAAACTTAGTTGCTTTTATTTAGTTTAAACATTCGTTGAAAAAGAACAGAGAGAAGAAAGAAAAATCTTTAGTTTGCCTTAATGTTGTAATGCGTATTATTAGTACCTTTACCAAGATGAGTTACATTTTAACAGAAATTTCGAATAATAAAGTATTAAATTATAAGAAAACAGACGAATGCGATTTGTCACAATTGCTAAAAAGTTACAAGATAGCAAGGAATCACGACGCACATGTAAAGTTTATATTAAGAAATGCCTAATATGTAGTATTACTACTGACAGGTACAAACGTTAGAGCGCACTATTTAATTACCTATTGCAACTACTCAATGCTACCCACTGAAAACGGGCTTACAAGATCGAGGGACGATGGAGAGCCTGTCAGACACACTAACCTTGACGATAGTTCGGTGCTGCATGCCCACGCATGAAAAACATATGTGGTAAACTTCGAATAGAAAACCATCGATTCTGACTGCATTTGACGTGCATTCATCTACAAGTCACAAACGTGAATAAAAAAACCGCGTCAACCGTATGTAAATCCTTTGGAAAAATTAACGGTGAGAGATCCGCTTGTGCACTCCTGGCTATTGCTCATACTTATTTATACACCGTTATATTTAAAATGTAAGAACGCGTCGTCGAAGAACCACTGCTAGGTGTGTATCACAAATAAGTTACATATTCGTGAAAACTCTCCCCAACACTAGTGACATCGCGCGCGATCTTATCCGCGCGAAAAGTACCCCCTCGTTCGAAAGCGCAACGCACTCGATCCGCATCGAGCTGTTCCGTCGAAATCAGTAACCGTCGATGAAATCACAAATCACCGCTCTACCACCCGTTGAACGTCGCGCTTCGTATCGTTCTCTTTCTCTATCTTTCATCCACTCTTCTTTTTCTCTCTCGCACCCCCTCCCCTTACTACTGTCTAGTTCAGGGGTTCCCAAACTTTTTTCAACTGCGTATCACTCTACGTTTAATTTAGTTTCAACCTCGGGGTGAATATAATTACGATTTAAACGTGATAAAAATAAAACATTTAACAAGTAAAAGAAGAATATATATGTATATTTTTTATTTATATATTTATATATTTATTTATTTATTTATTTACTTACTTAAATATAAATAAAATAATTAAAATAATTTGACAAATAAAATATTTATTAAGTATCACCGTATGCATGTAGTTATGTGTTATTTTTTGCCTTTGACTTTCTACTGTATTATGTTTTTTTTTAATATTATATGATTATACTTTCTATCTACCGACAGGTGGTACGCACATCGTAATTTGGGAACCCCTGCTCTAGTCTATCCCTCTCAGTTTACCCACTCTCCTTCCGTCGCCGACACAATAGCAATACCCTTTCTCCTTTTCTTTCCTTATTGTAAATTTTTATCGATTCCTTCAGACATTTAATTCTTATACTACACATTCATTACGAGTTGGCCGCGTTTATAATTTCATTTGTTATTCGGATGGATTAACGATTAATTTCTTTTACGTGAAAAACGACATGCCCAACACGTTTCGCGCAGTCGCAACGGTGATTCGCCTGGTTTTCGCCTCTCTCGCCTCTAACGCTTCCCGCCACTCCTCTACACGCGTCTCTCTCTCTCTCTCTCTCTCTCTCTAGCTATCGCGGATCGCGCGCACAGACTCAAGACCAGACTCGAGAATGACGTAAACCTCCAACAATGAAGCGTGATGTCACACACATCGAAGTTCGTAGAGGTTTGCTCTCACCGTTGCCATCGTCATCGCCATCACCGTCACCATTATCGTCTATCGAGGGATTTTCGATTTAGCGACTATCTCGATTTGTACAAAACGTGTCTGGCCTAGACTCGCATGCTGTCCCAGATCGTATATCGTTGAGGCCATGTTCTTTAGACAAATATTTCCTACGTGCTTTGTTGTACGCAAAAATCGAATATCGAAGTAATAGTAAGACAATCGCTGTAGGCAAAGGCAAATTTTTTTCAAAGGCGCGGCCAAATACAAGAACGAGAGAACTATAAGGAACTGACTGACGTCACTTTATACTATCCGTGCACATTTCATTGTTGCATTATATCTAACTTCGTCTATCTTAATATCTAAATCATTTCATGTGTTTTCAATAACCTGCTATCCTTCTCGAAACTATTTTTTCAGTCATTGGTCCATCATTTTGTCATTTTATCATTTAGTCTATACATTTCGATATCTTCGTCACGCAGGTTATTATCTGCTCATCATCTGTTCACGGTCGTTTACTTTTAAGTAAGATGAAACCGATTCTCTTGTTTTTTCAATATGATTGTTTCAATTAACGAAATGGTTTTAATTAAAAATTTCAATAGTCTTCGATGCATAATTGTTCAAGTGATAGATATTGCAATCTCTTGTGTATATTGATATCTATGGTTTCAAGAATACGACTTAAAAAAATCTAATATGAGATGATTTGACGTAATCTTTTACATGTAAACAATTGAATATATTATAAATTGCATGGTATTATAGAATGCACTCAAAATCGAGTCGTTTAAATCGATATTAGATTTCGACAACAGGTGGCAGTGTAGTACTATTGTTGTTGTGGCGACCACTTTGACAAAGTATGGAATAGTCACTAAATTGGTGTTGTTTCTCGTCAGTTGTCGATCATCACTCGACTCGTTATGTATCAGAATTAAAATATTAGTTACTGATGAATTCACTATATTTCATCTACTGAGAAAAACTCTAAAAACAAGCCCTGTGACTTTACGATAAAACATGTCAAAACGGCGGGACACATATAAAAATGTGTTTATTACCCCACTATGGGTCAGATTTATGACGTACTCTTGGTTGGAAATACAGTGGACCAATCTTCACTGTCATTAGTCGCACGTGGTTTCGTTTTCAAAGTTTTCTTCTTGTTGAACGAAATATTATCAGACCCTGTAGTTAGATTAAATCTGTAAGAAGGTATGTTGATGAAAAGAATCCTTCTTAGATAAAAACTAAATAACAGTTTGTTTACTAGATAGCAACAAATAGCAAATATAACAAAAAGAATGCTTAGATATATATTTTTATAAAAGACTTTTAACTAATGCCACACGAAGGAGAAAATCTCTTCGAATTCCCGCCTATTTGTACCAGCCTCCAGATGGCACAGCGAACACTTTGCGAACTCTTCGGCACTGAATCTACGGACTAAAGAAAATTCCCTAGAAAATCACTATAAACCTTCGATTATGTAACCGTCTTTGATTATATAGTCAACGGTCAAAGTCCTTTGTTTTTTTTCTGGTGTAAAAGCAGTGAAGAGCAAAACCCTAGGCTTCGAATAAATCTGAAGTTTGCCGATATGTTTGTCTCGTTTCGTCTTTGAAACATTTCCCAAAGAGATAAACAAGACAAACATATCGGCAAACTTCAGATTTATTCGAAGCCTAGGGTCTTCAACTTTTACAGTAAAAGTTATATCACGACCGACCCTCGGTTGTGGTCAAGGCCGATTTTAGCAATATTGACGCCCCGGGCAAGATTATCGTGGCGCTCCGTCAGGGGTATATACAGGGTGTCCCAAAAATGTTGTAACACCTTGAAAGAGGTGGTTAGGGAGGTGATGTGAAACAACTTTTTCCTTAGCGAAAATGTATGCCGAGTATGTCGGTTGAGCGTAGGCTACGCGCTAGACGGTCAAGCTCATACGCTACCGCAGCCGCTCCAACGGTATACGCGCGCTCTGATTGGTCAATCTTTTCCGTTAATATCTCTTTAACGAAGCCTCGGACAATATTTTCGTTAAGGAAAAAGTTGTTTCAAATCAAATCCCGAACCACCCCTTTCAAGGTGTTACGACATTTTTGGGACACCCTGTATATTAAAAATCTGGCGTCCCGGGCGGTTGCCCGACCATCCTCTCCCTAACGCCGGCCCTGGTTGTGGTTATATACGTGGAAGAAGATAGTCACATGGAAATGCACCTTTAGTTTTAACGACTCCTGTTGCTCATATTGAGTTTTGAATCTAAAGTTGCATGAATCGTGGAAAACATTACTTTCGCGGTGTCGTGAATGTTGATCGGTGTCACGTCTGTTACATGCGTACTGTGCAAATAGCGGCATAGCTTGATAAGTTGAAGACACTAGAATGATCTAGACTCTGCAAAGATGCTTGGTATAATCGTATCTGGTCGACTCGTAAGTATTAATCGTTTTCCTAACAACGAATACCGACGTTGGTTTTCATTTATGTTACTAAACTGTCAATTTTATGCAAATAAACTGTAATAAAATGTTTCTCGAACCTATTGGTGTATAACTATACGACTTATTTTATATTCGTCTTCTAATTTCTTACTGTTTAATTCCAAAGTTATTAATTTTAAGTCTTGTTTTTGTTAGTTTTTGATAATATTCTAATTTATTCTACTTCGCTCTTTAACCTATTGATATGTCATAGACATCTTAATTTATATCTTAATTAATTTTTAACGAACAAATCTAATTTTTTTCTGACTTGTAAACAATGTTTTTGAAATTTTATATTTCTTGTAGGTACAAACAGATTTCCAACAAATTGGAGAAAACCAATTTTTGATTACAGTACCTGATGCAGATGATATAAATCATATTGTGGTATTCCTTACAGGTATTATATCATTCCCTGATGGAACAGGTGGAGCAGGTATATATTACATTATATAAACATAAGGAGATTTAAATAAAATTAATTAAAATTCAATTTCTTCAGTGTATTTCAGTTGGCCGGATCCAACTCATCCACCAAACTGGCAGTTTCTGGGATACATCTCAAACACTAAACCATCAGCCATATTTAAGATATCGACATTGAAGAAAAACCATGAATTTGAAAACAGTAATTTAGGAATCTTTGGTGTGGGGAAGATTTCCCACGTAGCACAAATAGGGGTTTCACTCGAACCTCTTGCAATCATAGAACAACAAGCAGCTCAAGTGTCTCAAGCTACTTCAAATTCGTTTTTAGAGTTTGTCCAAAAAATGATCACCAGCTTCTTGAATTACGTATCTAGTTTTTCCTTAACTCAGGCACAAATGACACCCAATCCAACTGAAAACTATGTACCACTGTCCACTATTCAAGGATGGTATGAAACTTTCGAAAGAAGGTTACAACAAAATCCACATTTCTGGAAATCATGATAAGGAATTATGACCGATCACTTTTTATTAGTTTATTTCCATTTTGCTTAACGGCAACACGTCACATTTTTATCGTGAAATACAGTGTATGACATACGTGCATTTATAATTTTTATATTTTCATTAAGTAATTGTATGGTAATAATAAGAATAACAATGATTCTATCTTGTATTTTACTGGAGATGCAAAGTTGCCTGTAAGCTCTTAACTCTTTAATTGTCGTATGTGCTTTAATATTACACATTAAATTTGAGTAACGTACGATTTTCACTCAGCAATTAGATGTTAATACAATATTAATCACGTTTTTATTTTAAAGGATAATCCTACTTGTGATTTTCGAATTTGTCACTTGTAATTATATATCGTGCGACTTTTGTTGCGAATATTTTGCGCATTATGAAAAATGTGTTGTATAACATTGGGAAAGTAAAATATAAATATTTAATGAAAAGCGCATACGTCAATGTTCAGTTTGTATGGTGGAAAATTGAAACTGAGAGTATCAAGAATACGCATAATATAGTTCCCTGTCTTTTCATGGAAATGAGGTTGCCGTTTATTAATATTTGTTTACGTAATGAAATTTCTTCGTAACTTTTATATTTAGCATTTTATACATATGTAATGCAATTCCATGATTACGTGGCGTGTATAAGTA